GTATACAGGGAGAGGGTATATAGGGAGGGTACACAGGGAGAGAGTATACAGGGAGCGGGTATACAGGGAGAGGGTGTACAGGGAGAGGGTATAGAGGGAGAGGGTATAGAGGGAGAGGGTATAGAGGGAGATGGTGTCCAGGTAGAGGTTGTACAGGGAGAGGTTGTACAGGGAGAGGGTGTACAGGGAGAGGGTGTACAGGGAGAGGGTGTACAGGGAGAGGGTATATAGGGAGTGTATACAGGGAGAGGGTATATAGGGAGGGTATACAGGGAGAGAGTATATAGGGAGAGGGTATACAGGGAGAGGGTGTAGAGGGAGAGGGTATACAGGGAGGGTATACAGGGAGAGTGTATATAGGGAGGGTATACAGGGAGAGGGTGTACAGGGAGAGGGTATAGAGGGAGAGGGTGTATTGGGAGGGTATACAGGGAGATGGAATACAGGGAGAGGGTGTACAGGGAGAGGGTGTACAGGGAGAGGGTATATAGGGAGAGGGTATACAGGGAGAGGGTATACAGGGAGGATATACAGGGAGAGGGTTATCAGGGTGTGTATACAGGGAGAGGGTTTAAGGGAGAGGGTATGCAGGGAGAGGGCATAGCATGGTGGGTAGGTAGGGAGGGGATACCGGGAGAGCATATATGGGGAGGGTATAAAGGGAGAGGGTATACAGGGAGGGTATACAGGGAGAGGGCGTACAGGGAGAGGGCGTACAGGGAGAGGGCGTACAGGGAGAGGGTGTACAGGGCAGGGCACAAAGGGAGAGGGTACAAAGGGAGAGGGTACAAAGGGAGAGGGTAAATAGGGAGGGTATACAGGGAGAGGGTATACAGAGACAGGGTATACAGAGACAGGGTATACAGAGACAGGGTATACAGAGGCAGTATACAGGGAGGGTGTACAGGGAGAGGTTGTACAGGGAGAGGGTATACAGAGAGAGGGTATACAGAGAGAGTGTATACAGAGACAGTATACAGGGAGGGTATACAGGGAGAGGGTTTATAGGGTGATGGTATCTAGGGTGAGGGTATATAGGGATATGGTGTACAGGGAGATGGTGTACAGGGAGAGGGTATAGCGGGAGAGGGTATATAGGGAGAGTGTATATAGGGAGAGGGTACACAGGGAGTGGGTATACAGGGAGAGGGCGTACAGGGAGAGGGTGTACAAGGCAGGGCACAAAGGGAGAGGGTACAAAGGGAGAGGGCACAAAGGGAGAGGGTAAATAGGGAGGGTATACAGGGAGATGTTATACAGAGAGAGGGTATACAGAGAGAGTATACAGGGAGGTTGTACAGGGAGAGGGTATATCAGGGGAGGGTATACAGGGAGAGGGTATATAGGGAGGGTATACAGGGAGAGGGTATACAGGGAGAGGGTATATAGGGAGGGTATACAGAGATAGGGTATAGGGAGACAGTATACAGCGAGGGTATACAGGGAGAGGATATACAGAGAGAGTGTGTACAGGGAAGGGGTATATAGGGAGGGTATACAGGGAGAG